AGGCTGGATGGGAAGCAGGGCCTGCTAGGATTAGAACCAGTGCCCATATGGGATCCCAGTGTGAGCAAGGCCAGAACTTTAGCCACTAGGCTACTGCGCTGGGCCCTGTGGCTTTTTTTTTTTAAATAAGAGATTTATTTATTTATTTATTTGAAAGCAGAGCCAGAGAGAGAGAGAAAGAGATAGATTTTCCATGTACTGACCCACTCCCCAAATGGCCACAATGGATGGAGCTGGGCCTCAAAATATTTTCCAATTTCCATTAGTTCTCTAAGAATGTTTTGTTGGGGCCAATTTTGTAGTGGAGCAGGTTTGTGCCCCGGCTGCTCCGATTCAAGTCCAGCTCCCTGCTAATGAACCTGAGAAAGCAGTTGACAATGACCTGGCTCTTTAGGTCCCTGCACTCCCAGATGTGGACCCTGCCTTCTGTGTCATGTTGCTCCAGCCCCAGCTGTTGCAGCTATTTGGGGGAGTGAATCAGCACATGGAAGCTCACACTCCAGTTCTTTACCTCTCCCTCTTTCTCTCTATAGCTCTGCCTTGCAAATAAATCAAACACATTTTTAAAATTTATTTTAAAATTTAATTTCCATATATTTATGGATTTTAAGTTTTCCTTTTGATGTTGATTTTTTTTTCATTTATTCTGATGTGGTTGGAAAAGATAAAATGCACGGTATTTGTGTGATATTTATTGAGGATTATTTTGTGGCATAACATATGAACTCTGTATATTTTATTCACAATATGCACCTTCATGAACTTTTTGAACACCTCACCTATGGCTACTAAAATTGTTTAAAATGAGAAGTGTTAGTTTCCCCACCCCATCCCTTAAGAACATCCACTTACAATTCATGAATGCCAAATTAGAAAGCAAGTTGGACTTTGCTTTTTAAATCATCATTGTTATGTCCAAGGTTTATTTTTCTTAACGGGATGATTGTTTTCTAATGATATTCAATCACGTGTGAACTCTCACCACGGTCTCTGCATCTCTTAGCCATCCCTCCCCAACAAGCCTGCAAACTTCCAGGGTGCCACAGACCCAGGAACTGACACAGACTTTCCTGAAGAAAAGTAATAAAAAGACTGACGGAAAAGGAAAGCACGATAAGCTTTATATTCAGTCAAGAGACATCATGGGGATAGCACAACAAATGCAGAAATTTCTTCAGAAAATACCTTGGGCAGTGAGATTCTTCCAGGTTTTTAGATATTTGAAAACCTATTTGTAAAGCTGAGCTGCATCAATAATTAAACAGTAAGGGAAACAGAGCCCATGTTTTTCTACAGAAATTGAGTGAATTATCGAAATCTGAGAAGGTGTCAGCCGTCTTTCAACTATGAACTCTTCGGGCTTTGTATTTCCACTACGTACAAAGTGGCATGGGATAGTTTAAGTAGCTTGTAGAATAATCCACCCATAAATTGGAGAGAACAGCTTCCCTGAAAGAGTTGCTTTATATTAGAAAAAAAAGAAAGAAAGAAAGAGGGAAAAGCATCCAGTTTTAAAATAAACTCACTTTTCCTTCATGTACTTCTTATATTTCTCTGTCCTGAATAATTACTCTGGTTAATTTATTTTCAACCAAGCACATGTCAATCCCCAGATCAGGCCATCTCCTTCAAATAAAGTGATGAACCAAAGGCAGCAGCAGAATGTTGAATTTGCATTCAGAATAAATGGTGCAAGCCTATACATCCTGGAATAACCACGGAATTCCATTTCACCCATTCGATGGTACCTAAAGAGCTACTCACTTTAGGAACATTTTTGGAAAGCAAAACTTTGGCAACCATCCCTTACGAAGTAAACAAGTTTTTTTTTTCCTGTGTCGCTGTAGCTTCTCTTTAGAAGGTCTTTGCCTCATTTGATGAGGTTTAAGCAAGGCAGATGCAAAGAACATCACCAAAGATGAGGTGCATAGCTGGAAAGAACTCATGGAAAAGTTATCTTTGGCAGAAATGCACAGAATTGTTGTCTTGAAACGGACCCTCGAGGTCATGTAAGGAAACCATGGAGGGGGAGCCCATTGTATTAGTCAACTTTTTGTTGATTAAATAAGCAAGTTTATTTTGACTCATAAATTTAGAGGTTCACAGTTCAAGATAAAGGTGGCCCTGAACTCAGCATGTGATGAGAGTGGTAGGCAGGTGGGGGAAGGATCACATGACTGCTAGGGAACAGAAGAGGAGGACAGGTCAAATTGACTCTTATAACCAATGTTCATGAGGCGCACATCCAGTGACCTAAGATCTTCCCCACAATCCCACCTCCCAGATACCCTAATTCCATCAATCTGTCAGTCATCACCATGAAATTGTTGACCATTGACAGAGTACTTTGGAGACTAAGCCTTTAACACATGGGCCTTTGGATGACACTCAAGCTAATGTTCTAACCGTAACACCATAGGAAGGAGAGGAAGCAAAGTTCATGAGGCCCACACCATGGCATAATAGGTTAGATCTCCACCTATTATGAGCACCGGTTCAAGTCTTGGCTGCTCCACTTCCAATCAGGTTTCTACTAATGTGCCTAGGAAAGTAGCAGAGGATGGCTCAAGTCTTTGAGCATGTCCCATGTGGGAGACCCAGAAGATGCTCCTGTTTCCAACCTGCTTTTATTTCCATTAGACTAATGAAGCTAGGAATGTATTCTCATATGGTATGTTTGTGTTTTATAAGAGCAAGGAGCCTTCTCCATGTTTCTCATGTGGGTGCAGGGTCACAAGGACTTCGGCCATCCTCCATTGTTTTCTCAGGCCATAAGCAGGGACTGGATGAAAAGCAGAGCAGGTAGGGCACCAGTCAGCACCCATATGGAATGTCATGCTTGGAGGTGTAGACTTAGCCAGTTGAGCCATTATGCCAGCCCCTAGGTTGATCTGGCCTCTATGCTGATCAATTTCCATAAATTAACCATATAGGAAAGAGAACTTTTATGCTGGCAATTTTTTCTTTGATGTCACTAATTTAACTCAGGCTTAGTAAAAGTATAACAAAAAGGAACGCTTTGGACATATGTATCTTAACATGTGAATTTTGACAAATAAACAGTAAAAATGTAGACCACTTCCTTGGAAGAACTGGAATCACAGCGTGTCTAGCAAAGCAACTGCTTTGCATGTAGGTCCACAGATGGTATCACTGACACTTTTTTGGTTATTCTAGTATTTTATCACTTTTTGGCATTTGATAGCTGTGCAGGGTTACCTGGAAATTTTGAAGACATGAAACAGAACTCTTGGCTTTTTTTCTACCTTTCTTTCTAAATTTAACTATTTTTCGTTCTTTGACTTTTTCTTTTAGAGTAGTTTTTAAAAGTTTATGAAGTAGTACAATGTTCCCACAAACCCTCCCATCCATCTTCCCCTACTGCTAACAGGTTACTATGATCTTTTAGGATTCTTAATAAATCACACACCAATTATGCTGATATTAACATCTCTAACAGCTTTGTGCATTTTATATTTAGTGTCTAATTCACTTGGAATTTAACTGTGTGGGTAGTGTTAGAAACTCAAACTCATTTGTTTCTATCCCCTATGAAAGTTTTCTTCCTTTTAAAGATTTATTTTTTACAAAAGGTAGAGTTACATTTAGAGAAGAGACAGAAAAAGAGAAAGATCTTCCACCCAGTGGTTCATTTCCCAAATAGCCACAGCTGAGACTAGGCCATGCTGAAGACAGAAACCTGAGATTCCATAGGTGCCCCACGAGTGAGTGATGGAGGCCCAAGAACTTGGGTCAACTTTGCTGCTTTCCCAGGTATGTTAGCAGGAAGCTGCATTAGAGATGGAGCAAACTGGACTTGAACTGGCACCTATATGGGATGCTGCCACTTCAGGGAGTGACCTAACTGGCTGTTCCACAATTTCATCCTCTCTTCCAGCATTGTTTATTGAACAGTTAGTTCTTTGATACCTTATCAAAATTGCCTGGATCGGTCTTGGAATATTGCCCTTTCACATACATTTTGCAATCTCCTTGGCAAATCCAGGAGAAAATCCATGCCAGTAAAGAAGCAAGAAATTGCACTACTGATTAATTTGGGGGGAATACCGACATTTTCATTGAGTTTTCAATCCCATGAACATGGTATATCATCTACCTTTTTTGTAGGTATCCAACTTATATAACTTCACGATTATCTATAGAACCTTGCATACATTTTTAGATAATTATGAGACATTCTTAAATGTTTGTGGTTGCCATTGTGAAAATATTTTCATAAAATTATATTATTGGCACCACTCAGGTATAGGAATGCAGTGAATTGTTATAAATTGCACTTGAATCCACGAACCTTGATGTATTACCAGTTAAACATGTACCTGTGTGAGGGCATTTTGCCCAGGATTCAAGCCATCCAAAGATGAGAGCCCAAGTTCAACACCTGGCTCCACTCCCAATTCCAGCTTCCTGCTCATGCAGACCCTGGAGGCAGTGATAATGACTCAAGTGATTGGGTTCTTGCCATCTAGATAGTACTGGATGGAGTCCCTGGCTCCTGGCTTTATTCCCAGCTGGGGGCTGCCTTGGTATTTAGGGAGTCAGCCAGCAGATGGTTGCTCGTTTCTCATCTATATGTCTGTGACTCCGTCTTTCAAATAAACATTTTTTAAAAATCTATCTGCATATTCTGTTTTCTATGTGAATTACCAAACTTATTGTAAATCATACAGTATCTGTAATTCATATATCCCATTCTCTTTTTTTAAGATTTATTTTATTTTTATTGGAAAGGCAGATATAGAGAAGGAGAAACAGAGAGGGAGATCTTCCCTCTGCTGATTCACTCCACAAGAGACCATAACCGGAGTGAATGGCCCGAGCTGAGCCAATCTGAAGCCAGGAGCCAGGAAGCTTCTTCTTCCAGGTCTCCTACAAGCATGCAGTCAAGGCCATCCTTGACTGCTTTCCCAGGCCACAAGGGACACCTATCAGACTTTTCAAGTGAAACCTCCACAGCCCTTTTTGCCCGAGAGACTTACAAGTGTATCAGAAACCCCATCTGGTCCTCTAATTGCCTCTTCATCCTTCTAATATAAGTGAGTGCTTATTCTTTCCGGCAGGTGTTTCCAACATTGCGTTCCAGATCTTTCTTCTAGTCTATAATGGAAGATTTTAGTAAGGATTTTTCCAGGTTCTATTTTAGTTTTTAATTTCAAATTTTAAAATGTTTATAATTTAGGTGAAAGGCAGAGTGGTAGACTTAAGACAGATCTCCAATCCTATGGTTCCTTCCTCAAATGTTCTGATCAGCTAGGGCTGGGCCAGGCTTCAGCCAGGCACTGGGAGCTCAACCCAGGTCTGTCATGTAGAGGCCTTGGCACTAGAGCCTCCAGTGCTGGTTCTGAGGGTCTGTAGGAGCAAGCGGTTGGCATCAAGAGTGGAGCCAGGACTCGAACCCAGGCCCTTGATAAGCCACGTGAGAATCCCAAGTCCTGCTTCAGCTACTACAAAAAACACCTATGCCAAACGTTGAATTTTAAATTTTAATATTTAGGCCATCAATTGGCAAAGAAGGACTCATCTAATTTTTTTTTCTTCTTGCTCTCATCTCTTATTCCTTTTATTTTTGGGGGTGGAACAATGCTACAATTCACCATCTCCTAACTAAAACCCTAAGACCCAATTTCTTGTGATGTCTTTAAGGTTTTCATATATATATATATATATATATATATATATATATCTCACACACACACACATATATATATTCTCTTGAGTCTAACTTTCAACTTTTAGAGCTGCCACACAGAATTATGCATTTGATGTCTGCCATGTGTGTTCTTTTGAAATACTCGTGTTACCATTGTTTCTGTAATCTTTATTAGCTTAATTTTGTCAGAGCTCTCCTCTGCCAGTGGTTTTACATGTGACTCAGTTAGCCAACAACATTTATACTTACTGTCAGAATTTCTAAAGGTTTTTTTTTTTTTTTTTTTTTTTTTTAGCAATTGGCCTCATAGTGTTGGATGTTCTCAACGTCAGAGCATCTAATAATAGCATCATTCACTGGGGGAATAAATATATTTGAGATGCCTGATTTGTGAGTCACCTAGTTCACTAAAGCATATTTTTATATCATGATGATTTTTGCTTCATCGTGGCGGTAAGATTAAACAATAAAAATTCAGGAATTAGTACAGTGGTGTATCAGGCCAATCCTTAGCCTGTGATGCCAGCATCCCCTATGGGTGCTGGTTTGTATCTTCGATGTTCCACTTCTGACCCAGCTTCCTGCTAATAGCCTGGGAAAGTGGCACAGGATGGCTCAAGTCCTTGGGCCCCTACACGCATGCGGGAGGCCTGGAAGAAGCTCCTGGTTTCCAGCTTCCGATCAGCCCAGTTCCGGCCATAAGGGCCATTCGGAGAGTAAAGCAGCAGATGAAAGATCTCTCCTTCTCTCATAATCCTGACTTTCAAGTAAAATAAATCTTTAAAAAAGTATCATTTATGATGAACTTTTTGCTCCCCAGCTATGGTGTGTTATCATCCAATCTGAAAATCTACAGTAACAATTCACTATCAACATGAGCCAGAGTATTAGATTCAAGCTAGAGATAGGCAAATAGGTAACTTTCAAGAGCTTGCATTCTGGCGGTGACAGTAACAGCAACACATTTATTCCTTACTACATATATACACACACACTGGGGAATCTTATCTCATTTCTTTTTTTTAGTTTTCTTTACAAATTTATTTATTTATGGGAAAGGCTGAGTCTGAATTATTTCCCATCCTCTGGCTCATTTCTTCAAGTGACCACAATGGTCAGTGCTAACCAGATGCGGCTGCTAGGCTGTGTTTTTTATCCAGGTCTCCCACATGGGCAGCCATCAACCAAGCACTTCCACTGCTTTCCCAGGCACATCAACAGAGAGCTGGATAGGAGGCCAGGCAGCCGGGACTGGAACCAGCCCTCATGCTGCTGTGGTACCTCCCCAACTGTCTTACTTCTGACAAGCAGCCCTTTCAGGTCGGTTACCAGGGTTAGCCTCATTGCTGTGACCAGGGTGGAGGCATTTAGATATAAAAGGGAGTTACGTGACTGGATCAACATCTTCACCCAGAGCTATATGTTTCTCTCGGATTTAAAGTTCTTACCCGCTGGTAGGCAAGTAGGTGATATTCTAGACTTCAGTATTCTGTGGAAAATGTATTGCTATTGTTTAGAATCTGCCCACGCGGTGCGTGCAAACAGCCATGGATATTGTATCCAAATACCTCCCAGTCAACAGGTAAGAGGATGACTTCGCCCACGCCCTAATCCCTAGGACCCACGAACCCGTATTCTCTCGCACCCCAAAGCGATTTGGCTGTGCAGACTGGGAAACTGGGAAGGCTAACCTGCTGGGTGTTAGGTTGAGCCCTTAAAACCTCAGGACTAACCCGGCGGCTATCATCAGACTATGCAGAGGTAGGAAGGATGCTGAGACTTCTTTGTGCGCTGGAGACGAATGCGGGGCCACTCAGGATAATCTAAAATTACGAAAGGAAGACGCCTCAGGAGCCATTTTCCCGGCTGAGGGAAGCGAGAGAGGTGGGCGGGACCCAGAGACGTCACACCGGAAGGCTGGGGAGCCCCTAGCCATCGCCCCGCCCCTCCTCCCTGCGCTTCTCTTCTCAGGAACGAGATCCACCCCAGCCCCAGGGGAAACCTCGCGATACTTGCGACGGTCGCGGTCCCTCCCTCTGCCTCCCGAGGGAAGGCGAGCTGGCGGATTGGCCCCGCCCACGTCCGCTTGCGTTTGTTCTCGCGAGATCCTTCCCCTGACAGCTGTGGAGCCGCTTCTCGCGGGAGTTTTTCGAGTTGCTGTGGGAAGTTGCTGTGGCATTTCCAGGGAAACCGGGCCGGCAGAAGGGAGAGAGGTGTCCCCCTGTCCCGGCGGCGTGGCCGGAGGCGGCTAGGTGCCCGCCGTGGGCGTCCTCGGGGGGCTGCGGCCGGGCCATGTCCCCGGGGGCGGCCGTCCTCCTTCGCCCGCCGGCTGTTAAACATGCAGGAGCCCTGTGCCCCGGAGCCCTGCGCCGACTGCTCTCGCAAAGGTATGCGCGGGCGCCGGCCTCGGGGCCCGGCCCTCTCCCAAGGGGTCAGGAGCGATAAATCAGTGAGATTGTGTGTGTGTGTGTCCGTCCGTCCCACATTTAGTCCAACGCTTGAGGTGTGAATAAAGTTTTATTGGCAACAGCACCATGCCCATTTGTTTATCCTTCCCATCCATCCGCCCTCCACCGTGGGGTGGTTTTGTGAAGAGTGTACAGTCTTCAAATCTGAAATAATAGCTCAGGTGTGATTTAAAAAAAAAAAATACCTGCCTTTGGCTTAGAGAGGTCGTGGTCTTGGGGAAAGTAGTGTTTTTCCTGAGGCAGAACCCGAGGGCATCCTGGTGGGTTAGATGCAGTCAGTCAGAGGGTTACAGACTGACTAAACATTGGCTCTAAGTGAGACTATAGTTAATTTGCTGCAGGAAGAGTGGATTTTTTTACAATGCTTTTCTTCCTTTCCCATTTGTGGTGTGATGAAATATGGGATGAACAAATGAGTGTTTTGCATCATAAATGCTCTAGAATAGTCTTAAAATGACGCAACGCTTGGCCAGGTGGGCAAACCCATGAGGTGAAATAGACTGAATGTATGACGAATTGCAGTGGGCATGTTCTCGAGGTTGAGCCTCAGCCAGGACACTGGTGAACACAGCACCTGGGTGTTGCATCCGCACAGTGGATCTTGATTTTAGATGAAAATTTGTCTTGTGGAATACTGTAATGGTTCTCAAACTGGGCCCAGAGATTGGAGTGGGAGAAAAATATATATGTATCTTTCCCCCCTGTGTGGTTGAACAGCCACCCCTGAGTGAGTTGGAATAGTGCATTCTCTTCTAAGGAACTCTATTGAGAAATGTCTTGATTGCTAGCATGCTACGTCGTGCGTGAGGCATACTGTGTATACAAGTCGGCCATATTCCTGTTGGAAGCAGCGGTTCTTAACCCGAGCTGTGTACCAGAATCACAATTGGCATTCCACAGTAGGTACCAAACAAAATCCTAAGACTAGGGACCTGTGGTATGTATGGAATGCAGAGTGAGAACCACTGGAACGAACCAAAGTCCGCATAACTGTGTCCGCTGCAGAAAGCATCTGGTAACACGTAGTGGATCTCGTTTCTGCTGTTTGGGAAGGATATTAATGTGAAGCACATCCTCCCCCCCACCTTGGAGTGATGTACGAATGCGGTGTTACTCTGTCAGCTAGATTTTCTTGTTTGTTTTTTGTAGACAGGTGGCATCCGGGAGAAAGATGCCTTGCCCCGTCTCCAGTGGATGAAAAGCTTTGTGAGGCGTGCGTGAAGTCTGTCACAGTGGATGAGCACGGGAGATCATTTGCCATTATCTTATACTCAGATCTTCAAGAAAGGAAAATCCCTCTCCAAAGGCTCCAGGAAGTCAAGCCTGTTCAAGATGGTCCCCGGAATGTGATATTTGATGATGAAGATTTGGAAAAACCGTATTTCCCGGGTCGGAAATTCCCGATGCCTGCTGTTGATTTTCGGTTATCTGAAGAGGGACACGCTGTTCCTTATACTATCAATAGGTACCTGAGGGACTACCAGCGGGAGGGAGCCCGGTTCCTCTATGGACACTACAGACAAGGAAGAGGGTGTATTCTTGGTGATGACATGGGACTTGGGAAGACAGTGCAGGTGAGTGGTCACTTTGCCATTGGAATTCAGTGACAGCGTTATAATACATACATGAGTGGATAGCACGTGCACATCCCCGTGTCACTTGGGTTAGCTGTGGTGGGTGGGGGTGTGCACACACAGGTGTGTTTGTGCTGGTCTCACCCACTACTCAGCGACACCCTCAGAGGTGAAGGGAGCGTGTTGCCGTTTTATCCTTGGTAGGTATTTATGACGCATGAATTTATGACGCATGAGATAAATTAGTTCAGAATAAGGTTTTGTTACAACTTGGCTTGATTTTACCCCCTGTCACACAGGTTTAGCATCCGTAAATTCAAAGTCCCAAACAGGAAATGCTCTGAAATCTGACACTGCATTTTGGAATATCACAGGTCTCAGATTTTTGGTTTAGGGATGCTTAGCTAAAAACATCACCGCAACTTGTCCCCAAATCTGACAGAATCAGAGATGTGAGACACTTCTGATCTCAAGCATTTTAGATGCAGGATGCCCAGGCTGTGAAGGATACAGTTATACCTGAAGGACTTAACCTTACTGATGTATTCTGGAGGGAAAGTGTTCTGAGATTTCTACACTACCTAGTGTGATTACACTGATGCACGTTACATGGAGTTTATTGTTCCCAAAATTCTTAATCAGGAAACTCTAGGCCGTTAAGAAGTTCTTTTAGCAGACTGCAAGGAGGCCTCCTCATGTTCTAACATGTGTGCTAAAAGCTGTACACCCATGCACTTCTCTGTAGACAGGCATGGGGCTAGTTATTTGTTGCTGTAAGACAAATTGCTCCAAAATTGAACATCTTAAAACAACACTCATGTATGATCTCATAGTTTTCGGGGGCCTAGAATCCAGGTGTGGCTTCGCTGGGCCCAGGGAGGATCGACTTCTGAGCTCCTGCGATGGTCTGCAGGATGCTGTGTCCTCTGAGTTGGCCCACCGAGGTCTCGGTCTCTTGTATGCCCTTGGCTGGAGCCGTCCCTTGCTGCCTTGCCACACGGATCTTTCTGTGGAGCTTTTCCAACACAGCAGCTCGCTTCATCAGAGAGGGCCGGCAGGAGGGCCAGGGGGAGAGAGCTAGGAGCTAGCAGTCACAGAAGAGAATCCCCTTCCTGCTGCTGAATTCTGTTCACTGGAAGGGAGGTAGCCAGCTCTAGCTGGTGTTCGTGGAGATTAAACACGGTTGTGAATGCCAGGAATTGGGCATTGCTGGCAGTTGTTCCAGATGTTGCCTCCTATCGCAGCACCTTACCTTTCTTCCAATTCTCAAATAGGTTTGTCATTCAGAAGGATTAGGTTTGAATCTCGATTCTATACTTGACAGTCATTCTGGGTTTTCAGGAATGGTTACTTCATTTGCGGTTAAATGATTCTGTTTCCTTATAATGAATTTAAGCTATTTTATTTACTGGCTAGTGGGGCACAGAATTAAAGGAAAAATTGAATTTAACATTTCATAATAGTGAAAAAAATATTGGTGGGTGCAAAACACAGGTGTGCAGAGCTAGACTAAAACCCGTCAGTAATCATGGTTCATTAGCATTAGTGATTCTCTGTGCTCCGTTAAGCCCAAGCAGTGCAGATAGCCCAGGCTTGCACATTGCAGGTGTCTGGGAATTGTGGAATAAATAATTTGCTTTGTCAGGAGAATTCATTGGTAAGAGTAAAGAAACATTCTGGAAACTGCCATCTGTGAGCAAGACACACAGATGAGTCCTGGAAGAAAATGAACAGGTCAGTGAAGCCCTGTGTGGCTAGCTGTACACTGCCTCTGTTTGCACCCGTGCTAAAATGCTCTTCCCACAATTCAAATTGCCAATGCCTCTTTCTTCTGGAAATCAGAAATGTGAGAGTGCTTACAAAAGTGACCCGTCATTTTTGTAGCCCCTAGAGCTTAGTCCAATTCAGGTTCTTGTGCACGTTTTAGCCTTGATTTTTTTTGTTTGTTTCCATTTTATTTGAAAGATACAGACATAAAGATAGCCAGCTTCAGAGAGAGTTTCCATAGGCTGGCTCACTGCCCAAATGCCCAGCCTGCTGGGGCTGCAGCAGACCGAAACGGGGAGGCCGGGACGCAAACCCGAATCTGCCCCGTGGGTGGCAGGGACCCATGTACTTGAGCTGTCATCTGCTTCTCCCAGCGTGTGCTGGAAGCTGCAAGCACAGCCACGGGTTGAAACCCCGGCCATGCTAATCTGGAATCTTACAAGGAATATCTTTTTTTAAGATTTACTTGAAGGTGAGCCAGAAAGATCTTCCATCCACTGCTCCACTCTCTAAATGACCACAGTTGCCTGGGCCAAGATGTTCTGAAGCCAAGAATCAGGAGCCTTCTCTCCCACAAGGCTGCAGGATCCCAAAGACCCGGGCCATGCTCTGTGGCTTTCCCAGGCCACAGGCAGGGAGCTGGATGGGAAGCTGGGCTGCCAGGGTTAGAACCAGGGCCCATTGGAATATTTTTTAAGTGAACTGGAAAAGTCTTGTTAACAGAGAATAGTTTGAAGACAACATATTCGTATATATATATATATACACACACATGTAGATTTGAGTGTATGTATATACACACATTCATCATATATACCTGGCTATTGATTAAAAACACACACATTTAGAAATAGGCAAAACATGAAGTCACATAGTGACTACTGTCTTAGAAATGGATTTTTTCATGCATGAAAACTATAACTTTTTTTTAAACCACAGATCTTTGGGATCTTTCTACTTTTTGAAGTAGGTTTTTACTGCTAAAAGACAGCCTCCAATGGGGTTCCTTTTTAGGTATCCAAAAGTTTTA